TGAACGAATATTCACATATACCGTGCTCAAGGCAAGAAATGGGAGAAAGAGCTTTAGTTCACCTGATGTTGAGACAGCTAGGCTGTAGAAGTGGTTTGGAGATTACTTTCTTTATTAAATGAGGTAAGGCCGCTTTCTTCTGAAGCCACCTTTTCTAGTCTTGGTGATAAAAGTTCACTTATAATTATTGGTTAAAGCACAGGCGGTTAAATTTATAGATACGAAGAGGAAAAACATAAAAGATTTTTTACTGTTATAGTAACAAGCCAGTACTAGCCTTTCAAACTGCAGGCCAGAAATCCTTTCCGTGACGGACATCAGATAGCGTAGAAGGAAATACGAAACGCATGTCCTAAAATTAGACTCTGATACACCAGCAGGATAACTGGCCCACAGCTCAATGGTAGCTTATTGAACCGCCTAACGCCCAATAAACAGATGCCCCCAAACCCGCAGTTGGTCACAGCTGGCTGGCTGGATGAGGACGACTAATGTGCCAGAAACGAGCACCTCCAGTCTCTCATCTGCAGTTGGCAGTAATATCAGCTTGCTAGTCGCTATCTGACTGCCAGAGCGGGCTCGAGATTTAGTTCCAACGTATAACGGCACGAGCATATTCCGTTACCGGATCAGTGAGCGTCCCTCGGCCGCAGACTTTAGATTTTTACCAAAACGGATAAAATGCGCACAAGTTCATGTACAAGAACAAGATCGAAAATGCAAGTTTCTGGTCCTGTTTCCGAGCCTTTTTAACCTGAAGTCATCTTTTGGTCCGTTTTAGGAGGTGGAGAAGAGACGGCGGCTGCTGGAACGCGAAATTAACGCACTTACTTTAGAAGTCCAGAAGGGTCAACATGACGGTCGTCGACTGCGTAACGCGCTACGCGAGGCCGAGGAGCAGCTGTCTGCGGAGGTTGGAAAGTTTGCGTCCCTAAAGAACGAACTGGAGGGCCTGGAGGTTGGTGTGGTGGATAGTGTATACTGCCGCTCTCGCCCGTATTCCCCATAAGATAAAGGCTTAAGTTGAGGCCGGATCTTTTGCCTCTTAGGCGGCTCTATTAGTCTTCGTTACGGAGTTCCTTGAACTTATACGGGCCTGGTTATAAATAGTGTGGAGCTCGTTTGGGGCAGCGTTAACAGAAGTCAGTACTTAACAACAAGGAAACTTAAGCACAACTATCCACGCAGCTTAAGAAAAAAGGTGTGCGAGGAAAATGATGGTAGAAAGTAACGTATATCGTATGTTAGTGGTAGAAAAGTTCATTTCACTAGCATCCTCCAATACCTATATAGGAAAGGATGCCTTGTAAACAACACCATATTTTACTATGCATACCTAAATTCTTACTTCTTTGTAGTTCATTATTTGTTTGGTTAAGTATTTAGTTTATTAGTCAGATTTATTAGTTTTACTTTAGTTGCACTTTTAATTTAGTTTACTTTTATTTGCGTTTTGTTTATTCTTAGTTTTAGTAGCTGTATTAGTTTTAAGTTAGTTTAGTTAGTTTATTTTTAGTCTTATCAGCTTATCATTTCGTTTTTTTCTTTCCTCTGATATGCCCTGCCCATATAACACCTATCATTACAGGTCCCATATAACAGAGACCTGAGATTTTGTTGCTGTTGTGTTGTTTATTAGTAATTCTTACCCATCTTTCTTTACCTCTTTTACTGTTTCTCTCCATTTTGTTACTAATTGAACCACTATATACCTTTCAATATCACAAACCCAGTCTTTATAGTCTACGAGTTGGTTTGGCTAAAAAACAGTTTCCTTGTCTCTTACGATGTCACAAGGCATAGGTGATGTGTATGCGACGGCTAACGAAGTCATCTATTTCTTAACTGCCTATTCGCCAATAGAGGATTACTGCATTTTTATAACTTAATCGCTATATATTATCTTTAAAGCTGCAAAGAGAAAGAGAGAAGAACAACCCGCTGGACATCATGCAGGCAAATGCACTGCTAAGAGCGAAGACTGAGTAAGTTCCTACCTGCTTTCTCTTAGATTTCATATTTCGCACCTCCCAAACCTGCCTGTCTCCGAACTGTCTCTCACGTTAGGTTAACCACCGCTTTCCTTATCACGCGCTTAAATTCCAGGCCTGGAAGACCACAACAGAGTTAACTACCAGCTCTTATTTCGGTGAGGACCACCAGAGTGGTTTTAGTAACCTCGGAAATGGACAGTCAGTCCATCGTTGTACGCTGACAATGGCAGATAGAATGAGTTGTGTTGACCTGGCCAAAATCATATCTGCTAAGGCATTATTCGGTGAACTACTGCGCTGCTTATGTTCCCCTACGCTAGAGTCAACTGCGTTCATCTTCGGATTACTTTATGTTGGGGCATTAAGGCACTTGATATTAGGGAGTGCTGCTGGACAAAACGTCTGTGAGTTTACATTTTTTGTAATGGGTCGCTTTGATGTTAATGCGGAATTTTCTGATTCCCCTTTGCTCCCCACTCAAGTGTCAGAACACAGTTGGGGGCTGTTCATCTGAGAACAAGGACTAGTAACACAGACTTAAGCGGATTTGTTTAAATGGTTACAGATGGGCGACTGCAGTTCATGCTGTGGACGTGTCTATCAGGAATCTATAGGTCATGGTATCCTAGCCTGCGTAGTCCAGACTTATAGAAGTCTAAGCCGTGAGTGTGCTCAGAGCACTACAACTAACCGGATAGAAAGAGAATTGGTAAGAACAATAGGAGTTGTTTATTGTATACAGTAGCTCAGTGGTGGTGTGAAGCCCCGGCACGCGACAGGCCCGGGCCCTGCGCGGGTGTCTGGCTGCTTGCCTGCTATGGGCGTGAAGGAAGAAACATCATGCGAGAGTTAGTCACTGGCTGCTTGACCAACTGTTTGGCCAATAACAGTCTACGGACCTGTGATTGGCTGTTTCAGAAGCAGATAGAGAAAAGCTGTCCCGTGATAGTTTGCGGGCTTGGCGTCGGCGATACGAACTGAATAGAAACTGCCACACGCCCGTGGATAGTGCTGAATGGGTGGAAACCAAGGGAAGCCATTTTGTGTTCCGGATTTCAAATATGTACTTATTGGGAATACCATAATCCGAGGTTTACACTTCTTGTTGAGATTGAGGGGATATGATCCCAGTGCTGACTTAAATGACGTTACTTCTGACTAATAATAGCGACAGAAATAGTACCGGCACTACTGTCACTCAGCTACACTCCTAGTTAGTTATAGTAGAAATAGCAGTAGCAGTACCAGCCTTGGTTTACTTGAGAGTATCTTGACACCTACTGAAGGGGAATGAGGGTAAATAGTGCGATAGTGCCAGCGCAAAAGGCCGCTGCCCCTTAAGACTAAGTTAGGCGGTGTTCTGGCCTACATTGGAGAAAGCGGTCTATGCCCGAGCCCGATCAGTCATCTTGACTCTATCTTGTCACCGGTTTAAACGGGTAGGGGTCTGAAAAGAGGTAGACAATTGCGTGTCTATTTCACTTAAATCTCGTTTGTGACTCCAGTGACCATTCCTGCTCTTGGGCATATAGTGGACACTATCGAAATCGATGGTCGGATTATCGAGTACCATCCAAGATGTACGACGGAGTCGCCGCTGGAAGCTAGCAATCCCAGACAGGCTAATCAGTGTTGTTTCACCTGTTCCGCAGTCCCCCCTGCTAAGAAAACACCCTGCTTGGCAGGCTGGTGCCTATGCGTATTACATTTGAAGGATACAGTGTTTATCCCTATATAACTTGGATTTGGAAGCATTTGGGGAATCTGGGTGATCCTATTTTTAGACGGTTGTTTACTGTTAAGCTGTTCAGTGTGTTACGGGGACGCGAGCGGCGATGCACTCAGAGCCTACGGCCAGAAGCGCGCATCACTTGAGTCATGTCCGCAGACCGGCCGCGCGCACCACCGCCTCGAGCACACGTGACGATCGCTTAAATGTGCGTTACACATAGTCTAGAAACGTCTCCCAGGGCCGCAGCGTGGCAAACTACGAACCAACGTGTAGGCCAGAATCCCCGTCGCACACTATAGGCTAGGATTGTTCTACAAGGACCAAAAACTTATAAATAGGCTGTACTGGACAAGCAAAAAAACCCATTGTCTCTGTGGTGTCCAGAATAAAGCTCTTGTCATCAGAACCGGCTCTTTGCCGTCTTTCTGCCTACTCCTTGGGTCATAACACAAGGGCTTACTGGTTCTCCTTTTATCTGCTCCTTGACTATCATTGAGCCTGAATCCAAAGGGAAATCGTTCATGTAGAAATGAATACCTACGACGCTGTCTTTTGAATACATGTCCTGAGCAGTGTTTAGCAGATGTTTTCCATCTGCATTTTGGACCATTTTTCTTTCGAAATTAGGAGCATATTGAAACTTATATACCATGCCTTTCGCACGCTTCAGCAAAACCAGTTATAAATGACACCCAACTTAAACTAACATCAACCGATCAATTATTTTTCCATCAAACTGCAAATATTAAGTACTTTAAGTTGAGCTGCTATTAACCACGAAACGTGATGCCCGGAAAACTGTTACTTAGACAACCGATTATACTTCCCAATTATGTTTTCTGAAGTATGAAGCATTTTTTCCCCGGTACAAATTTAAACACGCATATACGGCAGGATTTATTTGCGTCAATAAATTTCGTGACAGCTTATCAGCTGCATCTTGTCGCTGCATGAGGATGATAACGGAAAAGAATATGCAACGGTTTTAAATTTCGCAGAATGGATGACATAACAGCAAGGGCCATAGTTTGGCTTAAATATTGATCAGGTAAAGGACACTGCACTAATCAACGTATGGGAAGAAAGGGAGGTGGAGATTGAGGGAAATTAAGTGAAAATCACTTGAAGATTAAAACTAAGTAACCTATTACCAGGGTAATTGGAGGTTGACCACTTATTCAAGCTGCTTGCATAGGTCCGGTTTCTCTCGTCGTATGTAAGCAGCTTCCTGAAATAATCTGAAAAGTCACAGGAAGACGTGTATCCACTTAAAGGTTGAGGTCTTCTCCGTTTTCTTTCGAACTACTTCCTGGTATACAAATGATCCTTAAAAATTTTAATTGTTTTCATTTGTTGTCCTTGGTTAGCTAAAGTCTGTTACTTTTTACTTAATAGCATTGGCTGTATGCTCGAAAAATGCGCATGATTTTATTCTATCGCTATACTTAGTAGTTCTTTCAATTTTTTAAATTCAGCAGACACTTGACACCTGTACTTTACACTAGAAATAAAGGGCTCGGTCAGTCGTTTGACGTATAGTTACTTGCCGTTACTTACCGGTAAATATGTTGTAAGTGTTCCTCGTTATCTGTGGACTCAAACACTCAACAGGCATCCAGTAAAACCCATTAAAGAAACTTTACGCTGACGTAGAAGAAAAGACGTACTTTCATACCTTTTAAAGTACATTCTTGATTCGCAGATGGGTGTCTAGGAAATCTAGAGCGTGAACTGTCGACGAGCAATGGCCATCTTAGTTAGTTAGTTACTTAGTTCACCGCTAATTCCACTTTGTTACAGTACATCACACTTTTAAGAAAAAATAGGAAACTTAGTGCAGTTAGCTCATAAATAGATAGTGGACTTGTCTTTGCCGAGTAGTTAACCTCCGATGGTGCAGTGTTGTCCAGGTGCGAATATCGCATTCCCTCCAGAGAAATGCTTATGTGGGGATCTAATAAGTAAACCGGTTATTAAGCCCACCTCGGGTCCAGACCATATTGGGCTTAATAAGCGGCGGGCACACTAATCGGACAGTCCTAGTTCTTGATTAGCAAACGCAGGATAGCACTATACATTATACACGTACTGTATTATG